GTTCGCCTTCATGGGTGCCGGTGGGGATCGAACCAGGACGGGGGTTTTAGCAGGTGGACATGACAAGGTCAGAGGAGCTGAGGATGTACATCGGGGAGGAACTGCAGTGATGGCCCATGGACTTCAACATGGTGGAAAACAAGGGCAGGAGGAGGCCAGGGACCAGTGGAAAATTGAAGTGTCAGTGGTCCTTCTGGGGTTAAAACAAAACAAAACATTAGAGTTGGGGTTCTAGAGGGGGAGGCAGTAAAGGGGGCAGTGGGGACTGAGCTGTGAAGGGCATGGATATGGTAACAAAAGACCCAGAGGTCAGGATCACGGGTGTGAGTGGCCGAGGAATGGGCAAGACAAGACCATTAAGGAGAGGAGTTCAAGGCAGGGGAGCCATGGGAGACTGTACCTTCAGTAGAAGGCAACTGTGTCTTCAAAGGTCCTCCATCTGGATACACACAGCCCTTTACAATGTGATTTTATTGCTCCTTTTAAAAAGGTGGGTTCTACTTCTTGACTCTTGATTGTGACTTGGCTCCGTGACTTGCTTTAACTGACAGAATGTGGCAGAAGTGACATTAAATGACTTCTGAGGCTCTGCCTTAAGATACTTTGCAGTTTCTGCTTATGTCTGAGACTGCCAGGCAATGAACCAGGCTGTCTGGCTGGAGGATGAGAGCTCACAGGAGAACTGAGACCCCCAGCACCAACTGCCACACATTGGAGTGATGCCACCATGGACCACCTACCTGATCCACAGAACCACAAAATAATGTCATTGTGACTTTAAGCCCCTGAGGGTTGAGGTTGTTTGTTAGGCAGCAAAGACAAAGAGACATATGTGGATGGTGAAATCATCAAAAATTAGTACAAGAGAATGGTAGAGAGAAACACCAAGCCAGAGCTAACATCTAGGTTTGTGACATGTTCCTATTTTTTTATTTTTTTTATTTTTATTTTTTTGCATTTACCTTCAGATAGAGTAGGAGGGAGAGACGGAGGAAGAGAGAGAGAGAGAGAGAAACATCCATGTGAGAGAGACACACTGAGTGGCTGCCACGCACATGACCCCAACCAGGGCTGGGGACAAACTGCAACCGAGGTACGTGCCCTTAGTGGGAACCAAACCTGGGACTCTCCAGTCCACAGGCTGACGCTCTAAATGCTGAGCCAAACTGGCCAGGGCTGTTTCTATTCTTTTTAATTTTTTTAGCCATTTCAAATGAACTGCCTTGTTATTTAAAGTGTCCACCGTACACAATTAGGTGTGAAAAGGGATTTCATCCCACCCTCACCCCCAAAGCTAAAGCCCTCGGAGCCTTTGCCTCTCAGGGATCATGGCTGTCTTCCTGCTGCAGAGGGTGGGAAGGCTCCAGGGAGGGGCCCTTGGATGATCCAGACAGGAGCAGAGGGACCTGCCATGGATGTGCCCAGTACCCTCCTGCCCAGGACTCTGCGACATGACCCAGCAAAATGGGGCTGCTGAGCAGAACCGAGAGAGGGACAAGGACTCCTGGACGCGTTTCCTTTGGTTTGTCAGGTTGGGGTTTGTAGACTGCTGGGGGGAGGGGAGAAAATGCCTTGGAAAGGCCAAGCAGGCAAGGAGAGGCAGAGAATAAGGAAGAAACGACCAACTGGATACAAGGGGTGGAGAGCCAGGAGGGTGATGGACAGAGACGGGGGAAGGACATTAGACAAGGTGGAAGGGATGGGGGAGGGGAAAGTGGGGAGAAAATGAGGTGGTGTGAAGGGGGCAGGGGTGAGCTGCTCACTAAGGTTCACCTGTGTCTCCCCAAACTCCTCTGGTCTACCTGTGGGACATTCACCGATTGGGCTTTCGTGTGCTGGAGGTGTCCTGGGATCAGGAGCAGCCTCTTCTGCCATGTAGCCAGACAGCGTGTCCTAGGGTTAGGCAACAGAGAGATCTCCATGGTCATGACGCTCCGCCCCGTCTTGGAAACGAACCTCCTGGTGCAGCAGTTGAACCTGAGGGTGTGCCTCGGAGACAGCAGACTTCATGCCGTCAAGGGCTCAGCCCTGCTCTGTCTTGGTTGCACAAAATGTGAGGTTTCTGGGATGTTGAGGTTGAGACAGGAAAGGAGATGCTGAAACAGGGCTGCGTCAGGATCAGATGTCGTGGATGAGAAGCAGAAAGGAAGTCCGTGCGATGGAGGAGGGGCCAGCAGGCCGGTCGTGGTTGCCCCTGGAGAGGGCGTCAGGTCAAGCAGTCAGAGTCCTAGACAGGGTTAGAGTCTGTGTGCACCTTACTGATACTTCTGTCTGTTCCCACTATGCGGGGGCTCCAGCCACTGCCCAAATCCGGTCCTGTGTGCGGGTGGAGGAGAGTGTCCTGGGTTGATGTGACAAAAGCCAGATGGAAAACAGTCTGTATTACATGCCCCACCTGCGTTAAAATAAATTAAAAAGGAGTGTGTGGGTGTGTGTGTGTGCACGCACACATGCCTCCCATCTTTGGGGGACCGGAGTGTGGGTATCGGGAAGGGGAGACAGCCCACTGAGGAGCCTCATGTTTAGGCGTCAAGCTATAAGCAAAAGCAGTCTTCCCAGCCCACATCTGGTCCAGCCAGCTCTCCTGCAGAGAACACACAGAGCTTTGGGCCACAGGCCCGGTGAAACTCTAGATCCGTGGTTCGCAAACCTGAGCGTGCATTGAAATCACAATGAGGGCACATTAAAAACAGAATTTCTTATTCGGTGGATCTAGACTGGGACCCTAGAATTTGCATCATTAGCAAGTTCGTGGGGGGGATCAATGCTGCTACTGTAGGGTCCTGACTTTGACAACCCTGCTCTGGAGGGTTCCCTCAACCCCCTCCCAACCCAGGCGCACCCTTCCTTGGCCCAGGGTACTTCCCAGGCCATGACATTGTTCCTTACCATAATGACTCGCTGTCATTTGCGATCCTTGCTAATAGCAGCTGTGAGCACCTGAAGAATGGGGTCCGTCTCTCCTGGTCACTGCTAGATCCCTAGCACCTAACAGTGCCGGGCACATCACCGGTACTCAATAAATATTTGTTAAATGAACAAGTAGATTTACCTGGCGTGGCCTCTCTGTGTCACGGGTGCCACAAAAGCCTAAGGTAGAGCTGGAAAGCCAGTCAAGGATCAGAGGTTCTGACAATGTCTCTTACCTTAGACATGACCAAGGAAGAGGCAGGTCTCGTAAGCCTTGTTCTCTGAAACTGACCTGCCGGCAAAGTCCTGCAAACAGCCAGGCGCATGGAGGCCTTCATGTCCTATTGCCGGGGTGGGCATGAGAGATGATGCATTTGGCAGAGTCCCCCAGTGGGAAAGGGGCTGGAGCTCAGCTGTGCCCACCTGGTGTGTATCTGAATCTTCCGAGCACCACGTGGCCTCGAACCTCTGCAGGCTGCTTCCCAGACACACTGGGCTCCCACCTGGAGGGCAGGTGGGACAGGAAGCCAGAACACCGCCTGAAGCAGTCTTCAACCTGGGGGGTGGGGCAGGTAGATTTCATGGGTACTGCCTGGTTTCCTCGCCCTCCGGCCTGAAACCGGGATGCCTGAGGGGCCTCTGAGTTCACCAGCGGGACCGAGCTGCACCTGCCCGCAGCTGCAGCGGCGCTGTGACTCCCCTTCCTCCCTGTCCGGTCCCCCTTCCTCTCCCCTGCCCTGTTTCCTGGGGTCCCTGCTAATATACTGCTTGCTCCTGCCTCCATGTCTCACAGTTTGCACCTGGGAGGGAGACCCCAAATTAAGACAGGCAACTGGAATGTCTCAAGCACTATACCAAATCTTTCATTCATATGTATGTGTATATATATCTCTTCCTTTAATCCTCTCTGTGAAGTTGGCAATATTAACTTTGTTTTACAGAAGAGGAATGAGACACTTGGGAGCTTAAATAATGGCCAGAGTCAGTAAAGGGTAGACCAAGGGTGTGAACGCAGGACTGTCTGATTCGAGAGGCGCATCACGGATGTGCCCTGCCCCCCAAAGCCCTGCACCCCCCGCCCCCCCCCCCCAGAGGCTGTTGATCTGGTTACGTTTGCCAGTCTCCACCCTCTCTCTGTGGACAGGCTGTCAGAGGGGAGACCCAGCCCAGAAGACTCATGGGATGTGCCAAGGAGGGGGCACCGAGGCACCTTGTCTTAAGTTCCCATTTCTGCAGACGAGGAAACGGCTTCAGAGGGGAAAAGTGACATTTTCAAAGTGGGTTCACGTTTGTGATTTCTGAATGGCGCTTTGCAGCAGCCCTGTGGGCAGGGCTGGCAGAGCCCCCAGCCGACAGGAACGCAGTTGGAAACCAGAGCCACACAGCACAAAGCAGGCGTTGGTAGGTGCATGCGGAATCGTAATAAGCATCACTTATCAGACGTTTCTCCTTGTGCCTGACACTTGTGACATTTTTCACACACAAGCTGACCTCGTGCATCCTCCTACGAGTCGAGGCTGTCAGTGTTCCCTTGATGGAGGGGGAACCGAGGCTTAGTAAGGCTAGTGATCCGTCCATGTCTCAAGTGGAAAGCTGGGATTTGAACTTGGCTTGGGTTGGACCATTGCATGAAACAGGAGCCCGGGCTCAGAAGAGATGGCCAAGCTCCATCTAACAGACCTGTATGCACTCAGGCTGGAGGTTCCTCTCGGAAGCTCTCTGTGGGCTTTGGGAGGAGCGGTGGAGCACCCAGTGGGGGGAAGAGAGGAACAGTGAGCAGTGAGAAGTGGAGGCCGTAGGGGGCGCCAAAGAGAAGCTGCTGCCTCTCTCTGAGTTTATCAGCCAGATTGGTTTTTGAGGAACAGAGGACCCAGTGTTCTGGTTTAAATCCTTCCACTTGCAATCTTTATTAAATTGTTTTTTAAAGGCTGCTCACTGACCACAGGAACTCCACGCCCTGCATCTGTGTCTCTCCATTCCCAGCTGTCAGTTGCTCCACAAGTTCTGGAAACACCTCCTTGCCCCCTCCCTCACCCTACTAACTCCACTCCACCCCACCCCACCCCATCCTGCCCAATCCCCTTAAGACAGAGCTCCCCAGGCTGAAGTGCAGTCAAATGACCAGAAAAAAACCCCTTAGAGTGATCTCAACCTCCAGGAACTGGCCACTGGTGGGGGTTGTGGCCATCCCTGGGCACCCAACCATACAAAAAGGAGAATTTTGTTCTCTTCTTGGCATTTTGAATGACTAAGAAGCCCAGAGACCTGTCTCTATCATTACACAGGAAGCTGAGGACTTCCTATTCTATCAAGACCTCGAACCTTGAAAACAAAGACTCTAACAGACTTCGTGGACAAGACCCCTCGATACCAGAGTAAGTGGCACTTGTCTGTCCTGTCGGTTTCTGTGTAGAGCAATCTGATTTGAATACACGCATGCAGCTAGGCAGGGCTGTGGTCCTGCTCATGTTGCAGGGGATCATCAGTTTATCTGTCTATCTCCTCAAAGGGGGGGACTCCTCAGGGGCCAGGCAGCCCGGTCATGGAGCTATAAGGCAATGACTTGTGTAGCACTGAGAATGGGTGGGTTTATAGGACTTGGGTACTCATGTGTCAAATAGGATTTTATTTTTGCTAAATAAGGGAAGCCTTCTTGAATGGTAGGCTGTCGGCTACTGATTAAGAAAGTCAACCCAGGGTTAAAGGACAAGAGGCACTTTTCATCGAAGGCTATTCAAGAGGAAATCGCTTGCCAAATTTCCCCCATGTAAATGAAAACCGTACATGGTGTATGAAGTCATTGCAGCAAGAGAGAGACTTGAATTACAAAAGGCTTTGTGGGTACAAGGATGATTTGCTACTGAACCATCTTCTTAAGAAGACTAAAACAACCCTGGCTGGTTTGGCTCAGAGGTTGGAGGATCAGACAGCAGACCAGGAAGTCCTGGGTTCGGTTCCCGCTAGGGGCACGTACAAAAAAAAAAAAAAAGTCAAAGACTAGAACCCAGGATCCTCCAAAATCAGACTGCAGGTTGTTTTGGAGGAGGTAGAATTTCACCCACCCGGAGGCAGGGAGCTGGCCCGATGACCTCCGAGGATGCATCCATTCTGTTCTACTAGCAAAGAGGCGGCAGCGGGGGCTATTTGCAGGAACCTGCTTCAACTGTTCGTGTCTGGAGGGCCTCAGATTTCCAGAGTTAAGGATGCCCGGAGTTTGCACACTGCCACCATTGTGTGCCACGCATTGACCTGCCAGTCCCCACTCTGACTGGCAGGATATCTCTTAGGCTTTTCAGACTGGGGGGGCATGGATGTGCTGCGAGATATTTCGCAATGGACTCTCCTAAAAAGAGAGCCCTGATTTCTAGTCTTGCCGATTTCCGTGTGTAAATATTCCCACTGTGGTTGGTTTCAAGCTACCAACATGCTGAAGGTGGAGCTGGGAAGACATGCACACAGTGGGTTCTTGGGAACCAGGCTGGGCCAGCTGCACACCCCCGGGCCTGGTGTCTGTCCCCTTGCAGACCGCCCTTGCTCTGCCCAGAGACTCACCGCTCCCAGGCTGCAGGACGCTGGCACTGGAAGGCTCCGGGCTCCAGGGCCAAAGCCGACCGCTGTGCAGTGACCCTGCGGCAGACCTTTGCAGCAGACTACAGCACGGCCGGCAGGTTGGATGGCAACATGGTCCTTGGTTTCTCCTCTCAGGCCCCACCCCAGCCCACCTCCCTCTGGGAGCAGTGTGTCCTGGAGTCATGTCATGGTGCCCAACAAGTTGGGTAAACAGTGAATGGAGCCCTGGCCAGTTTGGCTCGGCTGTTAGAGCGGCAGCCCATGGACCAGAGAGTCCCAGGTTCGGTTCCCACTAAGGGCACGTACTTCAGTTGCAGTTTGTCCCCGGCCCCAGTGGGGGTCGTGTGGGTGGTGATCAGTCAATGTGTCTCTCTCACATCGATGTTTCTCTCTCTCTCTTCCCCATTTCTCCCTCCCGCTCTATCTGAAGATAAAAAAATGCAAAAAAAAAAAAAAAAAATGTCCATGGGTGAGGATAAAAAACAAACAAACAAAAAACAAGACAGTGAATGGAGCTGGAGGTCAAGGGTATGGAGATGACTGTTCGAATGGTTTCTGACAATGCTGACTCAGTGTGCCCTCCGCTTTGCCAGAACCCCCACAACTGGGCCCCTGGGTCAGTCTTGCTCTGGCTGCTCTTTGTGCTTCCAAGCTGCTTGTTGATTCCGCTGTCAACCCGCGGGGCCCCGCGATGCCGACTGCCCGCCCCTCGGCCAGCACTGGTGGGGACGGCGCGGCTTGGCCAGTGACTGCCAGCTGGGTTTCTTCAGAGAGAGGGCTGATGCTTCCATCAAGGGGCAAGTCCAGAGATGGAGGAGTGAGCCAGAGGAATGGATTCGGCAGGAAGGAACAGGCCCCCAGCCGGAGTGGCCAAGGTGCCTTAGTTTCCAACGGCCACTGCAGACACGTACATCTCTAAGCAGGAAGCATTCACTAAGCAGTGTGGAAGGAAGATGGGTTGTGATATAGGCACCACCTATTTTGTTGATTGGTGTTTAGGTCAAAGCAATTCAGACTGGTGACAACATATTGCAAATTTCAAAGCCCAGTTCACACGGGAGGGGCCGTTGTGTTCATCACCATCAAGCAGCATTCCCTTTCTGGGTGAACTACATCGAGACCTGGTGGGGTGACCTGGGAGCAGGGTACATCAGCCAGAAGAGGATTGCAGCCTGGGACATTCCTGGTGGCAAGAGGCCTCAGGGAATGGTCACTGCAGCGAAGGAAGTCCCCTAATACTACGGTCCTGGTAAGGGCCAGGGGTGGCTTTCTCCTACCTTACCTTACAGTAGCCCTCCAAGGTAACTGTTCCTTTCCCACATTACAGATGAAGGACTGAGGCTCAGAGAGGTAGCTTAACTTCTTCAAGTTCACACAGCTGGTAGGTTACACCAAAGCCCATGCTCCCTTTGGGGAGGTGTCTTCAACAAGTGATCAGAAAGGACTGGAAAGGAAGGCTAAAAAGCGGGGGTCATGGAGTCCTGTAAAGGCAAGCTATCGAGTGGCTCTCTTGTTTGTGTTTGTGTTCATGTTTGTTTCAAGGCAACCTTGGGTAGATTATTTACCAGCAGAATTTCAGCTTCCGTATGGTCATTGCGCAACAACACCTCATGACTTGAGACTGTTCTGAGCTCTTCCTCCCCAGAACTCCCTCTCCTTATCACCAGATCACCCCACTCCACCCAGCCTGAACTTTCCTCTGAACCCTCACAGCTGTCACAGGAGGCCCACAGAGTTACTGTACACCTGCCTGTGCCCCCCAGGGTCATGCAACATGGGCCAGGCTGAGCTCACTCAGGTGTCCTTGGTGCTCTCTACTAACGGACAGGGTTGGCCACCTAGAATTTCACTATGGCAGCACTACTTGGGTTTGGGTGGGATCATTTCTGCACTGTAGGACATCCTTGGCCCTGCCTACCAAATGACAGGAGGTTCCCTAGTCTTTGCGACAACCAAAAAAGATCAAATGCCCACACATTGTCACGTGCCCCCCATGCCCTACGGCACCTCAGCAGAGAAACGTTTTAGCCCCAAAAGTCATGAAGATCCATTAGTTAGTTTTTGACTCTCAGCCAGGACTGTGTTCCTTCCCATGCCCTTCATGGACTCCGAAGCGCGAGGGCACTGCTCTGCGGTTGGAGGCAGAACGCCCAATGGTTTCAGTTGTCGGCACTGGGTTGAGCTCCAGCTTCATTCTCACCAGATGTGTGTCCTAACCACTCCGAACTTCTGTGTCATCACCTCCGGGATGGGAACAACAATGGTGTCCCTCCAGGATTATTTAACACCAAGTCCAATGCCAAATCCTTAGGCAGCATTGGTGATGAATGTCGTGAGTTCTCCCTTTGGCTTCTCCATCCACCGGACTTTTCCTTCACAGTGCTCATTGTCAAAGTAGTTGAATTCATGGTTCTGTGCACTCATTTGTCCCCCACCCCCCATTAAACTACAGTTTCCACAAGGGCAGAGAGGACCTGGTTCCCCCTTGCTCAACATTGAGTCCCAGGGCATGGTATGCAGTAGGCATTCAGTAAACTGTTGTCAAGTGTTTGAAGACATATAATCACTGCCCGTCTCTGTTCCCACTGCCTTTAACAGCAAAGTACATACGGAAACTATCTTCCCGGACCCATGGAAGAAGCCAGCATGGAAATCGCAACCACGACAAAGGACTACGAGGGGATCACAGAATATGACTATGGGCAAGCAACCCCCTGCCAGAAAGCAGATCTGAGGGCTTTCGGGGCTCAGCTGCTGCCCCCCTTGTACTCCCTGGTATTTATCATTGGCCTGGTCGGCAACATCCTGGTGGTCCTGGTCCTCCTGCAATACAAGAGGCTCAAGAGCATGACCAGCATCTACCTCCTCAACCTGGCCATTTCTGACCTGCTCTTGCTCTTCACGCTGCCCTTCTGGGTTGACTACAACCTGAAGGATAACTGGGCGTTCGGCAGTGGCATGTGCAAGTTGCTCTCCGGGCTTTATTACTCAGGCCTGTACAGCGAGATCTTTTTCATCATCCTGCTGACCATCGACAGGTACCTGGCCATTGTCCATGCCGTGTTTGCCCTGCGGGCCCGGACGGTCACCTTTGGCATCATCTCCAGCGTTGTCACCTGGGCCCTGGCCATCCTGGCTGCCATGCCGGGCTTTTACTTTTCGAAGTTGCAGCTGGAGTCGACCCACTACACCTGCAGCCTTCATTTTCCTCACGAACACCTCACGCAGTGGCGGCAGTTCCAGGCCCTGAAACTAAACGTCCTGGGGCTGATTCTGCCTCTGGTGATCATGGTCGTCTGCTACACGAGGATTATAACGATCCTGTTCCGACGGCCCAATGAGAAGAAGGCCAAGGCCGTCCGCCTGATTTTCGTCATCATGATCATCTTCTTTCTCTTTTGGACACCCTACAACCTGACCGTGTTTGTCGCTGCTTTCCAAGGCGCCATTATGTCTGATGAGTGTGAGCAGAGCAAACGGCTGGACCTGGCTCTGCAAGTGACCGAGGTGATCGCCCACACGCACTGCTGCGTCAACCCGGTCATCTACGCCTTCGTGGGCGAGAGGTTCCGCACGTACCTGTACCAGATGTTCGGCAGGCTCCGGGCCGTGGTCCCCGTCCCGCACACCCAGAGGCCGGAGAAGGACAGCTCCATGTCCCCCTCCACGGCGGAGCACGACCTCTCCCAGGTGCTCTGACTCGGGCCCCTCCAAGAGTGACCTGCCAGGCACGCTGGCCCGAGAGCAGGCAGCTTGGCCGGCCAGCGATTCTGACCAGGGACACAGCGTGGAATGACGCCACCAGGGCCCGAGGGGTCTACACTGAACCACCTTCTCCGTGGACTTCCCCATGGACTTCTTCCTGGAGATGAATGAGAGACCTGGAACATTCTGGAAGATGGGACGACGGGTGCCAGCGAAGGACTCGAACCCAAACGGGTTCAGGTTTGTGAACATTAACATTTGTAAACAGCGGGGCAGGTGTGGCTCCATGGATTGAGCCACATGGGCTGAGAAGTCCCTGTTGGATTCCCAGTCAGGGCACGTGCCTGAGTTGTGGGCTCGATCCCTGGTGGGGGTTGTGCAGGAGGCAGACGATGGATGTTTCTATCTCTCCCTTCTTCTCTCTTTAAAAAAAATCAATAAAGCCTTGGGCGGTTTGGCTCAGCGGTTAGAGCGTCGGCCTGCGAATCCAAGAGTCCCGGGTTCGATTCCTGCCAAGGGCACGTACCTCAGTTGCAGTTTGTTCCTCGCCCCGGCTGGGGTTGTGCAGGTGGAAACATCAATGTTTCTCTCTCTCTCTCACCTTCCCACTCTGTCTAAAGATAAATGTAAAAAAATATATATCCTCAGATGAGGATTAAAAAAATCAATAAAAACATATTTAAAAAAAAATTATTAACAAAGCCACTGAGCACCCCTCCTCCCATCTCTACCTCCCAGGCCGATGAATCTGGAAATACTTAGTGATTTCCACAGTTGAGTCTGCTCAGAGCCCAGAGCCAATCAGGAGCCAGCGGCTGCCGCCACCCTCCCCCCCTGCGGGTTTAGGCTCCTGGAAATTCTGAGGAACACAGAACTCGAGACCCAACTGGGAAATAGGGTTGGGAAACTGCTGTTGGCAGGGGAACCCCCCACAGAATTTCATATTTGCTGAAAACAAACAATCGGGGCAGGGGGCCAGCACAGACCATGTGCATAATGTGCTTCTGAAATAGCCACAGAAGGGAGGGAGTCATTACTGCCGCGACCGTTTCCTTCTGAATATTCTCAGAATCTCCCTTCCCTGTCAGACGGGTGATGCGGCAGGAGAGTCTGATGGCTTTATGGCAGAAACCATGAGTCCAAAGGAGACAGGGTTGGCTGTCTTCTCCTGGTTTTCTGGGGGCGGCACCGCCTTGCACCCATCATCAGAAAAGTGACCGGTGTGCAAGCTGGTGGCGCTTGAGGCTGGAAGAGAGACTGTCTACAGGCAGGTGGGGTGGGGACTCTGTCTGGATGTAGGAGGTTGAGAGATTAACCCGAAGAAACTGATTTATCTTAAATGTCTCTAACACTTCATCTCTCACCAAGGGCCTCCCATCTATCGAGACTTTGTTCCCGCATTCTTCAGACTAATATTTTCTTAAAAATAATTTCCCAAAACTGTTTCTAAAAATGCTTTAAAAAAAGGGGGGCAAAACCCAGACATCAAAATCACCCATAAATCCCACTACCCAGAGGCAACTACTGTACACTTTGATGTGCTTTCTTTTAGTTGTGTTTTTTTTTCTCTTGTGCATATTTATGATTATAATAAAGATGGACTTTTGGTACTCACCCTTCTGCTCTTGTTGTCTTTAAGTAGTAGTATGTTTGATCACTTGTTCAGGTCATACCTCCAGCCCTACTGACTTCCTCCGACCCCCCTCCTCCCTGTTCTGTGTGAATGGGCTCATGCCCGCTTTGTCATCGCTCCTACTGTGTTCTCCATCCCACCCTTCCAGAGAGGTGACCAGAATGGAAGCCCCAAGAACTCCCGTGTCACCATCCAGACTCCCGGCGGTCAGCATTTTACTACATTTGCCATAAATTCATCATTCTCTTTCTCCCCCCCTCACTCTCTCAAAGTGCACACAGACGGAGAGATATAAAGACACTATTTTTTGCCCTGGACGGTTTGGCTCAGCAGTTAGAGCGTCGGCCCACGGATCAATGAGTTGCTGGTTTGGTTCCAGCCAAGGGCACGTACCTTGGTTGTGATTTATCCCTGGCCCTGGTTGGGGTCCTGTGGGAGGCAGCCACTCGATGTGTCCCTTTCACGTCAATGTTTCTCTCTCTCTCTTCCTCTCTCTCCCTCCTACTCTATCCGAACAAAAATGGAAATATGTCCTCAGGTGAGCATAAAAAAGACACTGTTTGTTCTCCGGAACAATTTGAGAGCACGTGGCAGGTATGACGCTTCGTCACTCATCAGCTTCGGAGTTGTTTACCACAACAAGGATGCCCCGCGCACTCAGAACAGGAACTGACTCGGACGCAGCATCACCGTGTAACTGACGCCCTCTTGCCCATTCTGCCCACTTTGCAAACACTGTCCTTTCTGGTCAGGGTCCAGAATCACTTGTGAACATGGCTGTCGTGTCTTTCCAGTTGCCTTCAAACAAGAAAAATTCTTCAGGCTCTTCTTGACTCAGAAATCCCACTTCAGGTATATATCCAAAGAGAACAAAATTATGAACCCAAATAGAAGCCTGTGTTTCCAGGTTTGCACAGCATTATCCACAACGGCCAAGGGACGGAAACGACCAAGTGTCTGTCAACAGATGAATGGCGAAAATGGAATGACCGGAAGCAGAAGTCTCATTCTGAGGCTTTTAAAAACAATTTTTTTTTTTCCTTATTGATTTTAGAGGGAGAGGGAGAGAGAGAAACATCAATGAGAGAGAACATCGACTGGCTGCCTCCTGCATGCCCCCCAATGGGGATTGAGCCCACAACCTGGGCATGTGCCCTGTCCGGGAATCGAACAGGTGACCTCTTGGTGCATGGGTCAACCCTCAACTACTGAGCCACACTGGCTGGGCCCATTCTGGGGCTTTTAATGTCTACCATTTTATTTTATTTTTTTATTATTCTGGTAAGAAACACATAAAATATAGCATCCTATCCATTTTTAAGTGCACCGGTAAGTGGTATTAAATACATTTACGATGTTGTGCAACCATCACCACCATCCATTTCCAGAATTCTTTTCATCTTGTAAAACTGAAAGTCCATGCCCCTTAAAAAATAACTGCTCCTTCCCCTCCCACCCCACCGCACCCCCACCACCAGGCTCTCATCGAATCATGGGATCATACAGTATTTGTCTTTTTATGACTGGCTGGTTCACTCACGGTAACATCCACAAGGTTCATCCATGTAGTAGCATATGTCAGAATGTCCTTCCTTTTTAAGACTGAATAATATCCCGTTGTTTGTATATGACATCTTGCTTATTCATCAATGGATATTTGATTTGCTTTCACTCGTTAGCTTTGGGAATAATGCTGCTATGAATATGAATGTACAAATATCGCATTGAGACCCAGCTTTCAATGTTTTTGATACACACCCAGAAAGCATCAGCAGAACTTGGGGGTACTACTAACTTACAGGAACTCTGCAAGTCTCTGTTGCTGTCGGTCTCCCAGGAAAGCAGGAGACAGAGTCCCTGAAGGGGACCCGGAAGGGAAAAGGAGGGGTGCCAGTAAATTTCATCTACCCATTTAGTTGTCTATTCACCCATCCAAATGCCACTACCCACTCACACGTTCAGTCAGCCCCTCGTCTGGTATGAGCCCCCTGAGCCAGAGAGCAGGGATATGAAGACCACTGGGGAAAGGGCCTGCCACCCACACCTGCACCAGACCCGTCCATGTCCACAATGGGGCAGGAGCCACAGGCGGGGTCAGTTCAACCAGGGCACATGGGCTTGGTGAGGATGCTTGACCAAAGACTCGGGAGGCCAGCACCTAATCACTCTGTAGCTTTTGTTCAACCCGCACAGCATTTTGTCTGAGCTCTCGATTGAACAAATCTAAAACTCATTTGAAGAAACAGTCAGGCGAGACCATCTAAGCAAAGTGTTGTCCTGGGGGAGACATTGCCTACTTGTCTATTGACCCACAGGATAAACTATGAAATACAAGGATGTTATGCCCCCCCAAAAATGTATGTAACAAACTAAAAACTAGGACCAAGATGCCAGTGCCAACTCCCCTAATGTATAAGGGAACCTTACAAATCAATAGGAAAAGCCACTGGGATTTTCCTATCACATAATTATTCCATAGGCCCAATTATTTTTGAAAAATGAACAGAGATATAAACAGATAGGTCATAGAAGAAATGCAATAGCCATTAATATTACAATATCAACCACATTAGTAATCAAAGACATGCTAATGAAAATGAAATATTTCTTCTGCCTGTTAAGGTGTTAAAGAGATTTCATTACATTTCACTAAGGAAAACCCAGTGCAGGTAAGGATGCAGCAAAGCAGACACTGTCGATTATTTTTGATGGGAATAGAAACTAGTGCCACATTTCTGAAAAGCAATTTGGCACTAGGTATCAAGTTCGTCTGAAAAGCTCACCTGGCAATACTGCTTCTGGGCATCTCCACAGACGATAGTAAGAGTGCAATACCGCCGGCAAGTTCAGTGACGGGGAAGGGTTAACTAAGCATCGGTAAATGTGAGATAGGGCACGGACATGAACGGGTTTTAAAGATTTTTATTGGCATGTGAATATGCTTGTATTGTTAACATCAAATAAACAAGAAAATACATCAAATAACAACGAGGTAGCACCTCACACCTGTCAGAATGGCCGCCATCAACAAATCATCAAAGAAGTGTTGGCGAGGGTGTGGAGAAAAGGGGACTCTAGTGCACTGCTGGTGGGAATGCAGCCTGGTGCAGCCACCATGGAAAACAATGTGGTGTTAGCTCAAAAAATTAAAAATTGAACTGCCATTTGACCCAGTGATCCCACTTCTAGGAATATACCCTAAGAAGCCTGAAACACCAATCAGAAAGAATATATGTACCCCCATGTTTGTAGCAGCACTATTTACAATAGCTAAGTTCTGGAAACAGCCCAAATGTCCATCAGTAGACAAATGGATAAAAAAACAGTGGTACATATACACAATGGAGTACTATGCAGCTGTAAGAAAGAAAGATCTCTTATCCTTTGAGACGACATGGAGGGACCTGGAGAGTTTTATCCTAAGCAAAACAAGCCAAGCAGAAAAAGACAAATACCACATGATCTCACTTATATGTGGAATATAATGAACATAATAGTCTGAGGAATAGGGTAGACCCAGAGACGTAGAAGAAGGGTACAGACTGACAACCCTCAGAAGAGGGAGTGGTGGTGGGGGGAGGGGAGAGATAAACCACAGAACTTATATGCATATACAATAACCAATGGACATGGACAACAAAGCCGGGGATGGGGTGAGGGGGTTGGGGAGGAAGGTGTCAATGGGATAAAAAAGGAGAAACATCTGTAACAATAAATAAATAAATAAAAAGA